CTACGCTCCTGTGTATTCCGGTTAAACGCGATCTAATTGATTAACTTTATTCATTAATAACTCTGTAAATAATGGTCTGAGCCAAAATTGAAAGAGGAACTTTTAGTTCAAAATTTCATTCTCTTTCACACCTTGAAATATTAATTAAGCGTTACGGGACACCCTGTATACAGTCATGAAATTAATTATCCGAACAATGCGTTAATATATCGATGATTTCTTCAAACTGTTATTCAGGTGTTATATTAGACGTTGTATTTATATGTATTTAAACAAGTAATTGTGAAATTACCGGTATTTTAATACGTGTGGAATCACAACTTTTAACATTCGGATTTTTTTTCTTGCTGGACAATTAATTTCGTGATCGTACAACTGTATGTCATATGCATATGTATATACACAATTTATATATAGATATAAATATGCATATTGTATGTATAAATATAAATTGTGCATACATATACATACACAGACATACAATGCACGATCATGAAACTAATTGTTCAGAAAACAAAAAAAAATTTAGTGTTAAAAGTTGTGCTTTCACGTAATATAGCATACAATATACTACGCATATATTATAGCACTGGTAATTTCACAATTACTTGTCTAAATACACATAAATACAACGGCTAAATATAAATAATACCTGAACAGTTTGAAGAAATTCGATCGATATATTAATCAATATATTAATGCATTGTCTGAATAATTAGTTTCGTGACTATATTATATTATTTTTATTTAATAAAGAAAATATTATTTTACAATTTATATGTTGCTATTTATATCAATATGTCAGCAAAATTCAATATGTTTAACATAACAATTGTATTATGAGTTGTAATATAAATTTGATTTATACATTTTTTATGTGTAGGTGAGAGCACAACATCAAGAACGTGCTGTTGACTTTTTATCAAGGGAATTAAAAGTTTACAGTCTGAAAGATGCTGAAGAACGGGTTTTTTTTATTTCTGCAAAAGAAACTCTTCAGGCTCGTATGCAAGAACAACGTGGACAACCTGCTCATAGTAATGTGTTCCAAGTTTACTGTATTATCTATACTATCTTTTTTCACATTTTAAAGTCGTTTGTAAATTAATTATTTTTAAATAAGTTAATTTATTTAATATATATAGATGGTGCGCTGGCAGAAGGTTTCCAAAATCGATACTTTGAATTTCAAGACTTTGAAAGAAAATTTGAAGAATGCATCTCAAAATCTGCAGTAAAGACTAAATTTGAACAACACTCTCAGCGTGGCAAACATATCGCAACGTAAGAAAGTGGGAGACTTATACATATCTAATTTTTTCTTATTTCTTTTTTAATTTTAGAAAGGAAGGAAAGAAATATTGTATAGTTATTTATATTTATAAAAAAAATGTAAACCGATCCGTTTTTATTTATTGCAGGGAAATACGTCAAGTATTGGATGAGATTTTAGAACGAACACAAAAAATGCGAAGCGAACAATTAAATGTTAAAAAAGAGGTTCATGATAAGCTAGAGTTTACAGAGCAACAATTGCTGCTGTTAACTCAGGAAATGAAGGATAAAATTCATCATATGGTAGAAGATGTAGAACAAAAAGTTTCTAAAGCGTTAAACGAAGAAATTCGGCGACTATCCGTTCTAATAGACGAATATAGTGTACCATTTCATCCTGACCCACTTGTTTTGAATGTATATAAGCGGGAACTTCATACACATGTAGAAAGTGGTTTAGGTAATTTTCAATTATGTATTTTAAGGATTTAATGAGGATGTTATGTGACACATTAAAAAATATTTGATATTTTTAGGATCAAATTTACGAGCCAGACTCAGCACTGCTGTAGCATTAAACATAGAAAATTCGCAGCGAGAAATGACCGAAAGAATGTCAAGCTTATTGCCCGAAAACAAACAACAAATATCGCTTAACTTTTTACCGCGACGGGAACAATTTGAAATGCTTTATCGACTAAATTGCGACAATTTATGTGCAGATTTTCATGAAGATTTAGAATTCCGTTTTTCATGGGGTTTTACAGCAATAATCAACAGATTTGCAGGAAAACAGAGTCAGAGATTAACCATTGCTAATTATCCGCAAGAGGCAAGATATATTCTTTTATCAATTTTATGATTCAATTTGTCAAAGTCCATAATGTTATAAATTATAAGCGGTTAAAAATGGAAATTAAAAGAAATTAATAAAACTGCCAAAGTATTATTTGATTCATTTAAAGTAGATTTTAGTTTTATAGATTTTTTTATTTGATGTTTAATTGTCTCAAAAAGAGACAAAGAAACAAATTTATGTACTTTATATTGTACAAAGAATGCTTATAAAATTGTAAATTGATAAGAATTATGACTTTTTTTGACTTTTATCTTTATCGACTTTATTAAATAAAAATTAATTCAAATTTGATCAAGAATTTGCAATTGAAAAAATATACTTGGTAAGAGATGCTTTATATCAAAAGACTAACAATTGATGAATTAATAGTATTTATGTCACATTTAAATGTGAAAGAAGTATAAAAATTATATTTCTTGCAGATTCCGCCATGTATCACGTCACCTGCAGATAGCATAGATTCTCTCAAATTTGTTTCAAATACACCAAATTTTTCTACAAGATCTGAGGATTGGTGTTTAGCTACTCGTATAGCAGTTGCATCTGTAACATCGCAGGGTACAATGGGTGGTCTTATTGTTGCCGGCTTTGTATGTACAACATTTATAATTTACTTTTATATCCTTTCTTTATATGCATCCGTATAAACACATACATACATATGCATTTTCATATACACGCGTGTATTAGAAAAACTAGCGAAAAAATTATATTTACAAATGCCTATTAACACTCCTTAAATAAATTATTCTTTGATTTTTTAATAATTTCTTGACTAATATTAATCTGTAAAAGACATCTCTCTTTTGAGCATCTGTAAAGAACGTAGGTTCGAATTCGCATCAGGCATTTTTTAATGTTTTATATCTTCTGAAACTAAAAAGCGAATTAAAGTAAAACGTATGTTTTTCAATGTAAAATTTTCTGTCCAATCGATTGGTCAAAATATTGAATTTCGAAAAAGTTGTTTTTTAAAAACTGCATATAAAGATTATTGAAGTTATTTTTTTCAAAACTATATATTAAAGATTTTGAAGAAACTACTTTTTTTAATAAATAACTTTTTTTTAGTTTTTAATGAAATGACATAAATCTTACTTTTGTTAATGAAATGTTGTATTTTAAGTAAAAAATAGTTCTAATTGAATAAGATGTAAATAAATATTTTTTCCGACAGTGGAAAGTTTGGGTTTTTTGGAAGTGAGAAAATAAGTGAAATATGGTTATAAATGCATAAAAATTTATTTTATTATATATGAAGGTTTACAAAGGTATATTTGAAAATATAAATATGCTTATATTATAAACATAAAATAACCATTTTTATTATTTATATAAAATAAATAATCTTGATTGAAAAATACATGTAAAAATGAAGCTGCTTAGGTCAATCAGATAACTATTACTATTCCTTTGTTCCTGATTTTACAAATGTAAGTGATGCGGATGCGAATTCGTACCCAAACGAACTTTTGAAGTGCCTTAAATAGTGGCAAATGTGCAAATGATGTTCGCGACTCTTTTACACAGTTTGAGATAAATATATTTAATATAGTGGAGGAAAAACGCCAAATACATCTGTTCTCAAATGCCCATAAGTTGAACGGGGACATTTTATTGGTGCAAATTCGCGCCCAGGTGTCCTTTACGGTACACATGGAGTTCTAATATTGTTTTGCTTATTTTCCAACATTATGGGAATATCATTATAAAAATGGTTGCTTTAAGAGTTTTCTACAGAAAACTGTTAGAATATAATATTATGATATAATATTAAGTGAATACGAATCAGGAGCATTCACGTTGTGTGGACGTGGACGCTTCTGATTCTTATTCACTTAATTTTGTCATTTTTCTATGGCTGTTAAAACAGCCATTTTTATAATATATTTCCATAATGCTGGATAATATGAAAGAATATATTAGAACTGCATGTGTTAATATTAGTCAAGAAATTGTAAGAAGAATTATTTATTTATCGAGTATTATGAGCATTTTTTAAATAAAAATATTTTTTTCTTATTCTAATTTCCAATATAATCTTTCTTTATATAAATAAAAATAAATGAGATATTTAAAGTCAAATCAGTTAGTATATCTTAAGCGATCTAAGCGTACACGCGTGCATGTATATGAAAATGTATTTGAATAAGGTGGAAAAAATTATAAAAGAAAACAAAATTTTACAAATAAATGTACTTTTTTTTCTAGATGTTAAAAACAGTAGGTTGGAGATTAATTGCTATAACTGGTGCTGTATATGGTGCTTTATATCTCTATGAACGTCTAACATGGACTAATAAAGCAAAGGAACATGAATTTAAGCGACAATATGTTGCGCATGCTACTAAGAAACTACGATTAATTGTAGATCTTACTTCAGCAAATTGCAGCCACCAAGTGCAACAGTATGTGATAATATTTATACATTTTTACAAATATAACAATATATAAATATGTTTAACCTTCGGTTGTCACACTTGATAAAATGACTCTAGCTTTTTCCTTTGGAGACAGATATCTCCGAAGTATAGCTTTGAATGATATTAGTAGCATTATCTAATTTAAACTTTCTTCTTTAGGCAGCAACGCTGCGCAGCTTAAAATACTCGTTAGTACGTGTTTGGCGGGCACTAGAAAGTGACCTTAGAGTAAAACTTCCAGTATGACAAAGACGTTGTTTTTATTCGTGATTGAGTAATTTTTTGTGCAAAATTTACCTATAAAACATAAGTGTGACATGGTAGTTGGAAATTTGTTTATTTTCAATTTAGCTGACAATTTAATCACATAAACCCACACCAACACACACACACGCACACGCGCGCGCGCACACACACACGGTCTGTCCCAAAAGTAATTAGACTATTTTTGGCGTCAATCAGAATTGTCGAATGGTGGATCCATTGGACGGGGCCTTTGATATGGGATCAGGTATACAATCTGACCCTTCCCAGTTGCCACCGAGCCTTTCTAGCAGTTGATACTGTCAGTAAAGTGCGTTGTAATTTTTGTATTTTGTCATGGTTGAAAATTTAGCAATCCCGTGCAGCGATCAAATTCTGCGTGAAACTAAAAAAATCTTGATTCGAAACGTTGGAGATGTTGAGAACAGCTTATGGGGATGCAGCTTTGTCTTCAAAATTTGATCGCGTAACACTGCTCAAAATAGAGCACAGTTTGTGCTAAATTTTCGCCCGTGACAAGGCACAAAAATTACAACGCACTTTGTTGATGGTATTGACTGCTAGAAAGGCTCGGATGCAATTGAGAAGAGTCAAATTGTGTACGTAACACCTTGCACCAAAGGCTCTGTTCAATGAATCCACTCTCCGACAATTCTGATTAGGCCCTCAAAAATAGTCTCATTACTTTTGAGACAGACCATGTATACATTCATAATTAAATACACATACACATACACACACGTATGCACGACAAGCACACACACTCACATACAGTGTGTGTGTGTGTGCGTGTGCGTATGTATGTATGTATGTGCGCATGCATAAGTTTTCGACTGCTATAGGTCACATTTGTATTTTCCTATCTAAAAAAGTGCATTTAAAGTCTACTCGCATATCTCGAAATTTATTGTCGCTTTTTCGCGATGCCGATTGGTTGTCTACGCAGCGTTTACTTCGTGTAAGCGGCTGCCATTGCATTTTGTATGTATTAAGGTTAATAGTGTAATGGCAAGTATAGTAAAAATATTAAATAGCGCGCGCGAAGAGCGTGTCTGTAATGCTAGTATAAGGTAACTTGTACACAAAAAAAGATTATTTGCATAGAAAGAAAATTGATTTATTGTACAAAAATTAGTCGAAAAGTATTTTTTTTGTTTAAAATGATACTCTAAATTTGAAAAAATGAAATTGTAGAGTTATTTTGATGTCCCCACTGTTTTCTCATTCGAGATCCTATACATATACATGTATAAGCAGGGTCATGAATAAGGGCCGAAAATTGGAATAAGTTTACAAAAATTTCATTTTTTTTATATTTAATATTATTTTCAACTAAGAAAATGATTTTTAATTTGTTTTTAAAGAACTAAATTTAGTATTATCCTAAAATTTTAGTAAGAAAATTAAAAAATGAAAAAGTTATGATTTTTTTTCAAAAAAGTCTTTCAAAACTTACTTTTTTAAAGAATTTTTTTCAATATGTTACCACTTTAATTCTATACAATCAAAATATATTTTACAATGTTCAAACTCTATTTAAGAATTTTTACGATCCAATTAAATTGTTAGTTTTTACTAACAGCAACTGTTTAAAATTGATATGGACAAATTGACTCTATGTGATAAACTGGATCGAAAAAAGGTGTGACAATCGAAGATTAAGGAATAATTTTTCTTTAATTCAAATTATTTTATATTTTTTACAAAGCTATTAGATGCTTTAAAATTGTGAAACAAACTTATAATAGATTTTCAATTTTTGTGATTTATATTATTTAGAATGGATTTTTTAAATGGATATTTATGATATAACATTTTTTTTCTCAATTATCTTCCTAAATTAAATTTCCTAAACGAATTGTCAAAATTTTTTACATTATGAAAGCATGCATACTTATTTTTTAATTTTTTTTCTGTAATAATATTTGGTATTATTTATATTTAGAGAACTCTCCAGCACATTTGCAAGGCTCTGCCATTTAGTAGATGAAACAACATCTGAGATGGATACCGAACTTAAAACCATAGCGAATACTTTAGCAGTATTGGAAAAAGCAGCAGCTAAAGCAAAGCATCTTCGAAACGAGGCTAATTTTTTAATAAATGAGCTTGATACGTTTGATGCAGCTTATTTAAAACCTTTGAATTAAATGAATAATCGATTTTGTACACATTTAAATTTGAATGTCTTAAAATTGTGTAGTGTTTTGTAGGAATACTTATATGTGATATTATTGTTCAAATGTCTATAATTTGTTTTTAATCTAAAAATAGTAATTAACGTCTTATATGACAATATAATGATAGACATTTATATGCATACATATACATTTATGTTTTCAGCTTATAATTTAGTGCGGTTATTTAATCCTTTATTAACATGAAAAATATAATTTCTATATTAGATAAGTAAGATAAGTAAACGGACAAGTTGTATTTAAATGTACGATATGAGACACAATCTCTTAAAAAAATACTAAAGGAATGTTTATACCTAATAAAAACTCTTAATGTGCAGAAAATTGTTATTAATATTAACTTTTCTCTAATAGAAATTTCTAGTAAAAATTATAATTGTTATGTAATAAATGAATTAAAAAAGATAATTTAGATATATGTATATTTCTTATTTTTAGAAGCAAGCATTATTATTATAGGCTCTTCAAATTATTGAATATCCTATTGTTGCTAGATGCGCCTTTAAATTCGCTATTGTAATATCGCGGTATTTAATCATTTATGTATCCTATTAAATTATTAATTTGTTTAATTCCTTGGGTTGAACCTCTTGTAATAAATGCGTGCGTTAAATCTGTAATAAATCTCTATAATACCGTCTAAAAGTGAGGCTTCGCTTGCTTACGTTCGCGCGTTCATGGACACTTTCTCTCGTATCAATAAATATTGTCAACAAATATTATAGGCGTATACAGATTCATGACATTGCTTTTGTAATCTAACCGAAATCGATTATCACGTTTTTCGTCGGTCCAATCAGAACGTTCCGCGCAATCATCCTCACATCTGCGATGAGGCGAAGAGTTTCGCATGTCTCTCGCTAAACATTTCAGTCGTCTTTCGGATCTCGTCGTGTTAAAGTGTCCTCGCGTTAAAGTTTTGTACTATAATCCGAACATTAATAGATGGTCTTAATTATATTGTTGAAAGGAGAAAACTGATCTATCATTGGTTAACTCTAAACCCCGCTAACACCTATTAAATTTTTCATTAATGAAATTTGGATAAATATGCCTGTGTTAGATTTCTTACAAATGTATATAATCTTATTTAATTACAAGACAGAATCACTATATAAAACTTTATCTTTATCTTTTTATTATGTTGTATTATTGAAAAATGTAATTGTAAAACTATAAATAAGTACGATTAACACTTTGTGATCCGTATATATATATATTACACTGTTGTATTGTACCTGACTGAAAAAAACTACGGCTATGATATGAATTAACAAGGAAAGGGTACCAAAGTATCCCCCTCTAATTTTGATGAGCTTTAAATATGTTGTTTTCTAAACAAGAACAATTAGAATTAAGCAATCATATATTCGTGCCCCTTTGCACTTTTTAAGGGGTGAAATATTCCTTTAAAAAATTTTTTATTTCGGAGTGCATATCGGCGAAACTACGAGAGATAGAAAAAAATATTTCAAATAAAAATTAAGGCGATCCTAAATTGGAATCAAACTCTAAAAATAAAGCTGTTTTATCGACGATTTGTGAGTATGTATGCGTGTGATATTGATGAATAGTAGTAGTATGTAGTGATGTATTCATGTTTACTACCATATTGACATCGTACGTAATCTGTTTTAATCGATTTTAATCAATTCAATCCGCGCCCGGATTAAAAAGTAATCGGTTTTAATATTACTTTCGCGGATTATTTCCAATCTGAAATCATATTACATTCTAATCCATATATCGTTGTCAATCCAAATAAACCCGAATAATTGGATGGATATATAATATCCAAAATGACCAAAATAATCCGTCTAAATCGTATGTATATTTTTTTTAACAACTAAGTCCGTTTCGGTTACAAAAACATTGATTCAATAAAATCGTTTGTAATCCGTCTGGATCCGATTTGCTAGGAAAGACAATATTAATGCGAATTTTTAATTCAAAATTCATCAGTAATTGCGTATAGCAATTTCAATTATAATTGTTTTAACCCTTAGAAACATACATTTTTCCTTACCTACGATTGACTTGAAAATTGATATTTGGGAGTTTTCGAGGTTGCTGATTACGTAATCCGAGGTCAAAATTTAAAAATTCAAAATGGCGGACCCAAATTCGAAAAACAATGCAAATTTTATAAAAATGTATACCTGGGGATTCTCGGAGTCGCTGATTACGAATCTGTGGTCAAGATTCCCGAAATTCAAGCTAGATAGCGGATCCAATATGGAGGACTCAAATTTGAGAAATAATGCAAATGTCATGAAAATGTATTTCTGGGGGTTCTCGGGATCGTTAATTACGAATCCGAAATCA